TTCTGATTTAGTCCTGGTTTAGTCCTGTTTTAGTCCTGGTTTAGTCCTGTTTTAGTCCAAGGTAAGTCCTGGTTTAGTCCTCCTAGTTCAGTCCTGGAATCAGTCCTGGTTAGTCTTGGGTTAGTCCTGGTTCAGTCTGTAGCATGTGTGTCTTGCAAAAGTTCTGCATCTCAATCAATGTTTCTTCTGCTCAGTAAATAATGCCTGTGAAGTGATAAAAGTCGAGTTGCGTCTGTGATTTTGTATTTGTACTGAAGAAAGCGTAAACATTTCTTTGATTTCGTGATTGTAATTCTTGAAGTCGTAACTTTTCGATTCGTATTCTGATGGCTGCTATCACGGGCACAGGTGGGTAACATGTAGAATGTTAATAGGTCCAGGCACGTACAAGTTTAACTTTGATAAAATCACGGGTTAAGGGGCAGGTGCAGTGCTGTACTGCGCGGATGCGGGCAGGTGTGGGTCTCCAAAAATGGACCCGTACAGGACTCTGATTAGTGTTACTTTAAAATCACATACTTTGTCTACATCTTTAAAGCTCAAAATGCTCTGTTCTACCTTGTGATGTCATGAAACGGCGGTTTTCTTTTCTACCTTTTACCTTTTGTTCAACAGAGAAATTTGAAATTCCAGGTCTGAAATTATCCAAATGATTCTACTGAAGGTTTATGCAATTGGAAAACACAATGAAGCACACTTGTATTACCACGTGGCAAGAGGCAACATAATGTTTTCCGTTTGAGAGAAAAAAATAAATATGCAGGATTTGTGTGAATGAAACAAAACACAACTCCAGTTATGTTTTTCATGAGGAAACAACATTATAACATAGATCAGAAATCAGTCAATCATTCAATCAATAATGGCTCTTTAACAACAATTTACAGTACATTTTTATTACGTAACCGTACATTTATTCCACTACTGTCCTCACCTGTGCTTAAACTTGACCTAGCCTTTATTTAACGTTCACAGTTAAACACTAATTAGCTTTCCACCTAAACGCACCATCCTCGTGTCTGTCCCATCGCTACGGGACAAGTACGCCCGCTCTCCCCTTCACTCTTTACGAACACTTTTACTTCAGGCTCTGTTACAACGCCGCGCACTTTGTCTTTTTTAGGTGTCGGTGGCGTGGTGATGAAGGGGCCACCGCTCTCCCTTTTGGCATGCACAGATGGGGCGCATAAGCTATTTCCCAGCGGAATTGGAATCAACAGATTGACGTTAGCGGAAAAGATGGTGCAAAGTGATCAGCGGGAGGCGAATGGAAACAATAGTGACGTCTGGGCTAAAAAAAAAGAAAAAAAAAAAATCGGAGATGCTTTTTTATCCCAGGGCAGAATGTGTCAGTGACAAGGAAATGTATTATAGTGGCAGTGTTTTAAGGCGAGGAGAAATTATGATGCTAAATGGTGACAGAGATAGACAGAAGGCGCGATTAGATGCCGAACGAGAAACTTGAATACTTAGCCGGCTATAATCGGAACTTTCAAATGGATGTTGGTATGCGAGTCTGATTTAAATGGTTTTGAATGTTTTTTGAATGCGCTGCTAGCTGTTATCTAATCTGATACACAGTTAAAGGTGCGTTGTGTAACTTGTCTGCTGGAAGGTCCGTCAAATGCTTTTCTTCAATGAGATGTTATTGCTTTGTCTGGAATGTTTTTCAGTATGGGGTCAAATCTTCATGGAGACTAAACCAGACCAAGTTACAGGTCAGATCTGCAGAGAGGCAACCCCACTCACAGTCAGAATACCTGTTTTTCTTTTTCTACCTGTAGTAGGGATATGCATGATTAGTCGACTAATCGATAATTGATTTTCGTCAAGAATTTTGTTGATCATGTTCATTTTTAATCGACAAATGTAGGTTGTTGTGTGTAGTGTAAGGAGATGAGGCTGCGTCTGACAGCACAAACACTGGAGTTGCGGTTTCACAGTCCCATGTTTGGGCTCTGGCACCTCCTTGCAGACACTGTACCACTCAGTGAGTGTGTTTACATGCACATCAGTGTCCCGGGTATGATCTTTTTTTTTTTGTGTATCCTGGTTTCGTCATGATACATGTAAACGCAGTATCCTGATTACTGCAACATAAAGTTGAGTGCACATGCCTCCAAAAGATAAACACTTTATAACCTTTTAATTAGAACAGCAGCCAAAATAAATAAAGTGAGGAACATAAATAAAGTGACTGAAATGACTGTTAAATAAAGAGCTGCACTAAACCTGCAAATGTACCATCTCTGAAAACATGAACAATCCCCAACATGACACACACACACACAGAACAGACTCACCATCATCATCATCATCATCATCATCATCCCTCTGTCACAGAGAGAACACTCATATTCCACTGAGTCAGGTCCTTTAGTCCAACAGAAGCTGAACCACATCAGCGCACAAAAGCAGAGCTGAGATGAGATGCCCATCCCTAACCTGTAGCGTTGCCATTCATAGAAACAAGGTAACAGACCCCCAACTGAAAAGTTCCACAGTGCACCTTTAAAGAGGGGGTATTTTACTTCTATGGGGTATGTTAACTTTTATTCTGTTGAAAATGCAATATTCACCAAAAACAACGTATTAAGATACAATTTTGATGCTCTGAGTCTCCCGTCCCTTTGTTCCTCGCGCTGTCACTCCTCCTTTAGAGCACTATCACATCACAATTAGCGATCATTCTGCTAATGAAACTATTGAACATCTCATTAGGTTTACAGTGTACAGTTTTGTATAGCACTTTTGTATATTTATGGAGAATTTTCGAGTGGGAGCTACCTGTAAGATTCTATCTTCATCAGGAAGGTTCAAATAGGACCTGGAAGAGATCACAAAATTTATGAAACATGCATGGATTATATGAAAGCCAAACTGGTTTGTAAAGTGAGTAAAAATTGACAAATTGACTAGGGATGTAAGAGTAACCGAAATATCGTGATATCGTATAGTCAGAAGTCTCACAATAATATCATGGGGCGTCCAATTCCTTTGTTTTTATAGTAGCAGTAGCTAATAAACATCAGTAACTACAGTGGTCCCTCGTTTATCGCGGGGGTTATGTTTTAAAAATAACCCTCAAGAGGAAAAATCCGCGAAGTAGCCAGCTTTATTTTTTACAATTATTATATCTGTTTTAAGGCTGTAAAACCTCTTACCACAAACTTTATACACTTTTCTCAGACAGGACAGTTACAACCCTTTTTGCATCCTTCTTAAAACTTTTTGCTGCTGTCGTCCTTTTGTTATTTTCCTCCTTCTTTATGTAACGAAGCTAAGATTAATTTATTCCATAACGGCGCCCTTCAGCCATGTAACTTCTACCTTCGTTCAACATGTCCAGAAGTCCACTTTTTTTGTGTGATGTTTAGCATCTTCCTCTGCCTTTTGGGTGTCGACATTGTGGGTTTTGTCGGGGAGAAAACTTGCAAACAAGCAGCACTTCAGAATCACACTGCTAGAGATCCAACATTTATGTAAATTTGGCAAACTGAACACATTCTGTACTGTACAGGAGACACGGCACGGAGGATGGTTTAATGGTTTCCCTTAGCCAATCAGGATGCAGCGGGAGGAACACAGTGTGCATTCATACGATGTAAAAAAAGCATGTAAAAAATCTACGAAACAGGAAGGCCGCGAAAGGTGAACTGCGTTATAGTGAGGGACGACTGTACATTTCCCATGATTCATTTCAGTGCAGACATCATCAAGAACTGTTTTTTTTTTTTGAATTCTTGACATTATGACAGTAATAATTCACACCAAATTCTTGTCAGTGTATTTTAAAAGCAAAAAAGCATCCTATCTATAATTATACCAGCCTCTCCAAAATATCGCAATAAATATTGTACCGTGAGATGCATATCGTGACAAATATCTTATCGAGAGATTTGGATATCGTTATATCCCTTAAACTGACCTATCCTTTCTAAACTTTTGGGACATCTTGGACTTTCTCACTGTATTACTTAAAATAGTGTGTGTGAACAAAAAACAAGTTCAAGCTTCTTTATGTGTGTTTTTTTTTTTATGATTCCACCAGCTTGTGTTAGATTTGCGCTGTGTAACTTTTTGGTTGGGAGTCCGTCGCCTGCCTGTTTCTATGGATACGCCATTGCTCTGCCTGGAATGTTCCACAGTCTGACATTAAACTATTCTACCTCATGTTTATTCAGTTACATGTGGTTTTATAGCTCAAAAATACCTAGAAAAACGGGCATTCTGACTGAGTGGGGTTGCCTCTCCACAGATCTGACCTGTAACTTGGTCTGGATTAGTCTCCAGGACGATAGAAAGGTTTATAAATCTCCATGGAGAAAATCATTTGATGGACCCTCCACCAGAAAAGTTGCGCAATGCACGTTTAAACTTAGTGAAATAGTTAAAATCAGGCTAAAAACCGTAACTTGAGATGCTTTTATAGCTGGTCTCACATGTCTGCACATTTCTTTCCAATCCACAAATCTTCTACCATCATAATCGGGTGCTATCAAACTAAATCAAATTCAGTCTACTCTAAAACTGAAGCCATTTTCTTCTTGGCCCTTCGCTAACCTTGCCTGATAGAGAAAAATAAATTGAAAGGACTTGGCTTATGAAAAGGTACACAAAAGCATCTTTCTGTGTCTTGACCTGTCGGAAACTCCATTTTGAACTTTTCCTCGGATCAAACAAAGCGTATTTGATGTTGCCTATTGCTTACTTTCACAACCCAATTAAAAAACAGGACAAAGCGTGACATTTTTTATTTTGTGTTGTAAAAAATGACGCATTGTTGAGGTAAAATTGACCGACTGATGAATCTAATAGTTTGAAACACACTCAATTTCTTCTTTCAAAAGGACTTTTCTTCCTTGTCCCCCATTTTCTGCTCCTTCACGCTGAATGGGTCACGCGCCCTGTTGATATGACAACTCCCTCCGCATTTAGCTCTGTTTGACTCGGCTGTGGCGCGTTGCCGTGGAAACTAATGAAGGGCTGTCTCCCCGCAGGAACCATGGTGGTACAAGTGGCAGCCACAGATGCGGACGACCCCACCTACGGGAACAGTGCCAGGGTGGTCTACAGCATCATTCACGGGCAGCCGTACTTCTCCGTGGAGCCCAAGACGGGTACGTGGGCATGGTTTGAATCAATAATGAAATGTACAACTTTTTTGTTTTCGAATGTCAGTCACGATTTGCCCAAAAGTTCATGATGAGTGCAAATGCAAATTGGGGATTAATAGAGTTTTTCAGAAAAGTTTGGTGTTCTATTCAGGTGCTGTTGTGCCAGACATGACTAAAACAATAGTGGAAATAGAGGTGGGTAAGAAAAATACTGACAAAAATTATAATCTTTTTTTTTTTTTTTTTTTTTTTTTGGATGATCTAGAATGAATAATGATAACAAGCAATGTGCCTGTAAGTGTCTTGTGTGAGGTTCAAGTCTTGCCCAACACCTGAACAGACCACACCAAATGACAGAGATGAAATGAATTATAAAGAGCCTCAAGTGTTATAATTTTAATACAAGTGACAAGACAAATTGATTTAATAAAATTATTTTTGTTCACCTACTTATTCCAAATTATGCACGTAGAAGGGGTTCTAAGAGTTTCCCCCTGGAAAGTCTTGGGCAAATGATTGTCATTTCCTCCATTCTCATGTTTTTATAACTCAGCCACCTACAAAATAATCTTCATTCTTACAAGTCTTGGACTTCCTCTGACACAAAAGCAGGAGAGCTGCACTAGGCTAACAGTAGAATTAGATTAACAGAGATGGAGCACTTTTCTGGGCACATGTAAAATCACAGTAAGGGTGCTCTTTGAGGTTTAAGTTCAAAACTTGGTGAAATGTGGCTCTTGCCCATTTTGCCCATTTTGCCACTGCTAAGTAACGGACACATTGCACTATCTTTTAAATCATTTGAACTCACAATATGTTTTCAGGAGGCCAAGTACTAAAGTTAAATACCCTTTGCTATGCTACAAGCACTGGGAAAGGAGACTGGAGGCTTTAAAGAGCTGCTTGTGGCTCTTTAGTCAGTGCTTGCAGACCCCTGTACAGACATTTCTGTCTAATTTTTGAGGTCATTTTTAATAGTTATAATTATAGCCGATATACTCAATATTTTAATTTTGTATATGTGTAAAATGGCGGTTGTGATATACTCCATTTTTGATTGATCTCCCACCTCTAAGTATAAGAAAACCTAATTGCATTGATTCAGTGAGAGTGTATGGAAAATCTAAGTGATGTAACAGTCCATCAATCAAAAACAGATTTCTTTGGGTAAGAAAGATTCATTATACTCAACTCTTGTAGCAATATTTTAAAATGCTGGCTCTAATATTCTGCTATTTTTGCCTTAGATTAGTTTTTGCAAAGCTAGTGACTTGGCTAGTGACTATTTGACTGTGGATATTTGTCTAAACCCCTCAAGACTGGATATTAAGCAAACCAGCACAAAAATTTAATTTTTGAGAAAAACTCATTTATATTATGTTGTTTTACAACAATTAAAAGTGCACTATGTAACATTTCCGGTGTAGGGTGTAGGGTAATAATATTCTTTGTTGCCTAGAATGTTCCACAGTATGGCATTAGAAATGTCTATTTTGCATTTATGAGGGCCTTTCACAAATCTGTCACCTGCTTGTATCCAAAGACAGACAACTTAATACTATACTGTGGAACATTCTAGGCCTAGCTGTAACATCTCTATGGAAACAAGCAGGTGGTTGATCCTTCAATAGAAAAGTTACATAATGCAACTTTCAGTACACATTACATACCCCAAGAGTTCAGTCTTGCAAATGAATCTGAGCTACAGACAATTCTTATCTATTACACAATTATAGAGAATATTGTCTGACATATTTCTGCCACAATTATCCATAATGTAATGAATGTGTGTTGATACATTAAGTGTACAAACATACTTATTTACCCATATTATGCTTCAGTAAAAGGCAAATAAAAACACATCCTCCCTGTATTATGTAACTTACAATAGTCAACAAAGCAGAACAGTGTCACTGTACTGACACAAAATGAGCAAGGACATGATGTATTCTACAAAGAAATGTGAATGTAACTTTACATTATTTTGCTTGTTGAATTCAGTTGAGTCTTTTTTTTTTTTTTTAATAGCAATTGCAATTTCTATATTTTTCAAATACTATAAAGGAAAAACAAAAGGAAAACTATAATTAAGATATCTTGTGTTTACCTAATAGTCTACACCAGTGTTTGCTCAACTTTTTTTTTCTGGGGATCCGTATTTTAAAAGTCACAAACCTTCGGGACCCAAGTCAGTAAAGGTGGATTTGAACATTACTGAACATTAATGAGGATATTTCGTGTGATCGTGTCTCTCTCTGAACAATTAGTATTACTCAATGAAAAACCAGCAATAAAAGGATCCATAAGTCGCCTATTTGGACATTAAATGTAGCCCATTTATTTTTCTTTTCAACATTCAATTGAACCAGCAATATTGGAACACAATAGTCAATGAGATAATTATAAAAAGATTAGAAATTACACAGAACATGTCTTAACATTTCAACATTTGTAATGAGATAAGTGGGCCTGTCTGCGTTTTTGTAGCATGTTTCAGTCCAAGTGCAGGAGGAGATCGCAGCAGCAGCATTCAGTCTGTTTCTGTACTTTGTCTTTGTGAGCACGGAAAATCTCATGTGTCAGAACTGTATATTGCAGACTTACATGTAGATCGTGACAAGCCTGATTCATCAGCCAGTTTCACTTCGTAGAAACCGACGTTAGAATTCATTTGCTTTTTTAATTTAACCAATCGCTGCTATTTGGTCGTGACGTATGTAATGCGCCACTAACTGGGCTAACTGATATATTAAGCTTTTCCCAAATCCCGTAGGAAGAAGGACAATAACGTCTTTCCCCTTGATAAAATTCACCAAACATTCTCTTTGTTCTGGCTTTAAATCCTTGATCTCGGGAATCGTTGACAACACAGAATATATGTCTCTTCGCTGATTGGCTGGTGCTGAACTTGCATTTCCGGGGATTTTTGCAAACCGTCTCATGTATTCTGATTCCTGACCTAGTCGCAGGAGAGAAATGAAATTGCGTGAAGGCACTAGGTGGCGTCAGCCTGGCTAGACCCAAAAACAAACTCTTGCGACCCACCTGAACGTCACGACCCTGTCTTTGGGAAACAGTGATCTACACAATTTTAAAATTCCTAGACTTTTTAGGTCCTATATTATGCAAAATTGACTCTTGAGAGCTTTAAGCCATGTTAGAATGTTGTTACCTCCTTAAAAACATACCCAGAATTGTGTTTTGTTTCATTCACATGTTTCAATAATCCAATATTATTATTTTGTCTACATCTCCAAAGCTCAAAATGCTCTTTTCTACTTTATGATGTCATGAAGTGATAGTTTTCAAATTAACAGCTCCTTGTACCTTTTGTTCAGTAGAAATTGGCATTTACAGGCTTGAAATCATCCAAATGATTCTAGTGAAGCACACAATGAACACAATGAAGCACTTCCTGTATTACTACATGACATCAAAAGATAGAACACAGTGTTTTCAGTTTGAGACAAGAACTCGCCTAAATATGCAGGAATTTGTGCGTAAAAAATGTGTGAACGAAACAAAACACAACTCCCGGTCTGTTTGTGATGAGGAAACAACATTAAAACATAAATCAGAAAACAGTGTAATATAAGACCTTTAAATAACTGTGCGGAGAAGTTGATATTAGAAGATGAAGTCGGGACAAAGATTTAACTCCAATATCAGCAGTGCAATTTTGGACCACAGTCAAAATCTGTAAAAACAACCCAAACATTTAATACCCATTCCTAAGCATCTGCCAAAATTCCACTTTTATTGATTTGAACGTCGAGCGCCGAAGTGATAAGTAGAGACAATTAAACGCCGTAAAATGTATCTAGGCTTATTAAATCTGAGAGCAAGTCATAACGTTGCCGTGGAAATAGTCGGAATATGCTACAGACGAAGGCGCCAGACAGTTTGTTAACTCTCGGGGCGTTTTTGATCTCTCTCGCTTTCCGTAGACGCCTCATTAGCCACTGCCCCGCCGCGGTCCGGACACTCCACGCCAAAGGATCGCGCACGGGGGGGGGGGGGGACGGGAGCATCCATCCCATAATATCGTCCTAATGTCTCCGTGGCGCTCACACACACATACATAAGACAGTGGGGACTTGAGGAAATGCTCTCCTAATTCATGAAGTGGAGAGACGCCGCATTGCAGGCTTCTGAGGCCAGGCAAACACACTGTAAAAATAGACAAAGAAAAGAAGAGAAAGTGTCCAATTTACGGGGAAGAAGTAGCATCTGAGGTTGTTTTTGACCATAATGGAGAGTGTACACAAGGCTGTAGCTGGATATAGAGTGTGTAACAAGTATTGACAAAACAGTAAGGAAACTATAACGTACAATATTAGTATACCTCAAGCTGCGAGCTGGATTGTCAGTTTTTAAACTCACAAAAATCCATTTTATACAACTGATCCGTTAGAGTTCACACATTTTTGGTGCAGAGTGAAAAGCCTATATTTTTTGGCAAAATATACAAACAAACATTTTATTAATACTGTATTTTTCGGACTATAAGGCGTACCAGATTATAAGGTGCAATATCAATAATGCTGAATTCTCATCTATATTCATACATAAGACACACCAGATTATAAGGTGCATTAAGCGAAACAAATGGACAATACTTGAGACTTGAGAATCCACGATCCATTGGCAGATCGCGGTGTAACTCTTCCGGTGTTGCCTCCCTGTCTTGGTGAATGTGGATTATGAATGGGAGGAGGACTCAAATATACATTGAGTAATAATGTGTTTAATGCAGCTTTGTGCACATTTGTTTACATTTTACAGAAACAAAACTTAAAACCACATAGCTAATTTGCATAAACTATAAGCGCTGAAAAAACAGCTCGCTCCTTGTGCGCTGATGTGGTCAGTTTCTGTCGACTTACTCCGCGAGGCTCCTGACTACAGTAGCAGTCAAGCTCCGACAATTCATCAAGCGGTGCGGCTTTGTACCTTACCAAAGTCGTACTAAAACATTTTGACAGATTTTTGAGCGCCGTGTA